GGGCCACCACTCTTGTCACCCGGGTGAGAGGGGTTGTTGTTGGGGCCGGGCGCCGCCGGCCCGTCACCAGGACGCACAGGAAGCTTCTCCACCTCCACCCGGATGTCGTATCCCTCATGGTTGAACCAGACTTGAACAAAACCGTTCATCTTGTCAGGGGCTCGAACACCGAACTTCATCCTCACCGGTCCCACCCGGATAAGGGAAAGATCATCCACCACAATTGGCCTACCCAGCATCTTGGGCCCCTCCATCAGACGGCCAGCACGGTGGTGCTTCTTGGGAATGCCATGGAGGCGGAGCCACACCTCAGGCATGGAGAGGGGGATAATCGTCTCCTAGATCGAGTCGCGCACCAGAACCGTAATGTCGTGGATGGAGAGGAAAAGCTTGCCACTTGACTTGGCCATGTGCAGCAGATCAGCAAAAGGAAACACCACCGCAAAGTCGTTGTCACCCACCTCCTCAATCTGCCAGTCCCAATCACCAGCCACCATGTGTTTTAGTTCCTGTTTGAGCACGCACAGCGAAAGCCTCCCCAGCTCCGCTAAAAGGATGGCACCATTGGCAACCTTAGTGACCTCACCCACAGCCAACAAGTCGTCTTCAAACTCCATGCAAAAGAAACCCTCACCCGGAATGGCATTGCCCATGATCTGGAGAAGCGGCTGTTTGCCCCGAGAAGGACAATAGGCCGAGGCGTGGCCCTCCTGCTTGCAGATCACACAGAGAGGGAGGAAAGTGCACTTGGCCTGGAAGTGCCCGGTCCTGCCACACTTAAAACACTCCCCGCCCTCCTCCTCGACCGGAATGGGGGCAACCGCCGAGCCCCGCGGCGCATCGACCGTGACCACCACGAGCGGAGCAGCCACAGCCCGAGGCTTCTTTGCCAGCGGGTCCCCATGGCCGTCGCTGCAAGGGGGGAGGTCCTGCGACTTGCGTTCCAGCTCGCGACGCTGCACGCCATGCTTTCGCTTCTTCTTCTGCTCTTGATGACCCCACCAGGGTGGAGGAGGACCCCAATCCCCCTCACGCCCTTGGAAGCCAAATCCGGAATCTTGCCCCTGGAAACCACCATGGTCGCGCCCAGATCCACCGCCCTGACCGTGGGAAGAACCACCGCCGCCATCCGCACGCCCCGCCGCCTTGGCCTACAGACCGTGCTTCGCCTGCTCTCGGAGGGCCTTTTCGCGCCGCCATTCCTCCTCGGAGCGCGGGGGCTCCATCAGACGCTTGTCAGCACGACGGTCGCCCCATGGCCATCGCCTCGGCGAAGGACAGAGAGAGAGAGAGGGGGAGGGGGAGGGATGGGGATTAGAGATCTGGCGGAGAAACGATGGCGCCGCACCTCACTGAGACGGGCCGGAAACCCTAGCGAGGGGTCGCGGCACCCCCTGCGCAGCCATAAATAGCGATGGCCAGCAGGCTCCCCCCCCCAGGTCGGGCCGATCCAGCGGGCCGATCGATCCAGGCCCAGCGCAAGGGCCCACACAGAGGGGCCCGGCAACCAACGGGCCCAGCAAGGCCGTCCCAGGCCCAGAGACCCTCGGCAGGCCCAGGGGAGTGGCAGACGACGCCAACCCTAGCACTACACCCCCCTCCGTCGCCCGCTCCGCCTCCGGCGCCGACGGCGCCGTCGGGGCCAAGACAGGGAGAGCAGGCCACTCCTTCGGCGACGCTGGAGCCACCGCGGGCCCCGAACACCTAGGGGATCGCGGTTGAGCCGAACAAGCCCCCGGAGCGCGCGAGACTTGCGCCTCCGGCCTCCAGCAACGGACCGCCATCGCCCGCGAGCCCCCACCGCCCGGCGCAAAACGGCGGCGCCGGTCACCCCGACCAGCCTCGGCACGAGTCGCCGCTAACACGAAATCGCCCAGCGTCGCCCCCGCCGGGGGAGGGGCAAACCGCGGAGAGGAATCCCCATCCTCGACGTCAGACTCGTCCCCCGACAGAGCCCAGAACCAACCGCCGCAACCCGCACGGCCGTCCCCAGGAGAGCACGCCGGGGCGGCAGGTGGCGGGGCGCCACAGGGACCCCGCCGCACCAGAACCCAGGTCGACGCCGCGCCGGAGGCGCGCGGGGAGACGGAGTCGCCGCCCGTGTCACCACGGGGCACCTCCAACGGAACACTCGATTCAAAATCCATCTCCCGCATCCCTCGAAGCACTTTCCACACAAAGTGTTTAACCTTCCCTGGTAGCCTGAGACCCCATACTTTCTTCCATGAATCACATTCTTGATGGCTGCCCGTCCTCTATCCGAAGTGGTGTTGCCTTTTGGTTTGGGAAATTATGAGGGAAAAAAACTCCTAAGTACTCCTCCGTTCGTAAATATAAGATGTTTTTATAATATTGTAATATGGACTCCATAGAAATAAATGAATAAACAGACTAAAACGTGCCTATATATCTGTTTCAGAAAAAGGTAGAACATCTTACGTTTGTGAGCCGAAGGAGTATAAGGTCCTACCACGGACGAGACAATGTGCCACTTGGGAAGGTGTATGCCAAGCATGAGAAAATATGCAACCCACAATATACTTGACAAACAGAGTTTTGGCTCACTGGTTAGGCATGCGGTTGTGTAGCCTGACCATCCGAATTTAATTCCTAAAATTTAATTTACAGGTGATGCACAACGGGTTTTCGTTAGTTATTGAGGGTCAAGCTTCATGTGTGGCTTATACAAAAAAAATTGACGACCAGACTTGATGTGTGGCGTGACTACACGTCAAGATAAAACTTGGTACTCATACTAGTGCATGAGCAACATGGCAATGGGTATCCGCTACCCACAAACCTGACGGGTAAAAACCCTATTAGGATAAGGGTTTTGGAAAGTTAAATACCCATGGGTTTGTAAATGTGAAAAATGTACACAACAAGTAAGATGGGTTGTTTTTGGTGTTTGGTGCTTGTGAGTTGTCGTTTCTGCGCTAGTTTTCCTCTCATGAGTCCTGGCGCTTGTGCAAGTCTCCTCGGGAAGCAGCTGGCTTATCACCCTTTTCTGGTAGTTTGTCCTAGCTTGGTGGTAGTTTGTTAGTATGGTGTTTCTATTTTCTTTTTTCTGTAATGCCAACACACCATATGTTTTTTATAATGAAAATCGGAGGGGTGGCCCTTCTTGCATAAAAAATGGGTAAGCTGGGTACGGAAAGACAATACACATATACCGTGTACCCGCCTACCCACATATTAGTACATCTTACAGGTAGGTCCCCTATGTCATTCACTAAAAAATTTGGAAAACCCTAGCCTAACCCAACCACAGTCTGTACACAAAATCCCCTCCCCTCACCTACCCATCGCTCCATCACACTCACAGAACACAAACCCTATCTCTCCATCCTGCCTCGGCTGAAATTCTAAATAGACATGATGAAATGTTGTGTTTTACATACTAAAATACTAAAATTATACATGGTAAAATGTGAATTGAAAGGTGACTGAGATGGGTATTTTTTTTCCCACGGGTATTACTTACACTCGACTGGGTACGGGTACGTGAACAATATGAAAACCTGAGGTGTGGGTACGGTATGGGTTTGGGTGCAAAATATTGGGACGTATACTAGTTTGGGCGAGCATTACCAGCACCTAAACCCTACAGATGCCATGTTGATGTGCATCCCTAATTGATGCAGAGGCCGGGAAGCGAAATTCTTTCCCAAAATTTTAGAGGATCAAGCTTGGTGTGTGGTGAGAGCACTCATTAAAAAATAAAATTTTGGTACTGATAAACAAAATTCTTTGAGGCCCATGCTTGATGTGTGGTGGGGCTACACAAGATAAAAAATCTTGACACTCATATTTAAAAAGGCTAAGTGCATCTTTAGTTGGTGCAGAGGTAGGGAGAGAAGTGAAATTCTCTCCCAAATTTTAAGCAAACAAAGTCTTCTCTCAGTAGTTAGACTTGCAGTTGTGCAGCCTGACCATCCTAGTTCAATTTCTAGAATTGGCATGTGACGAGCGGGGGTTTCCCCCATTTATTGATGATCAAGATTGATGAGTGGTGTGACCACTCGTCAAGATAAAACTTGGTACTCCAAAAAAATCTTTGAGGACCAGACTTGATGTATGGTGCGACTACACTTTAAGATAAAAATTGATCATCGCGTGTGAAAAACATGTTTCCATATGCACATACATACGTGTGAAAAAACATGATCATCGGGCATTTAAAAAATGTAAGCACAAAAAACATGACCGTTAAGAAAAGCCTATGTATTTGTCAAAAAGACATCACATATTTTTATAAATCCATGCAGTGAAATACGGAGTATATGTTGGTGAACCATGGAAAAAATGTCTGAAGAAAAAGAAAAACATAGATCAGGAAAAGTAAAGAAAGAAGTTAAAGATTTAAAGAAAGAAAATGAGAAAATAAAAGAAATCATTGGAAAAATAAAAAATGAACAGAACAAAAAACCTGGCTAGAACCTATCAATTGATTAAAAAAACAAGCACGCCATGCTGCTACAAAACCAACAGTCCTGGTACAACCCATTGGCCCAACAAGCCCTTATCCATTGGCCTTCTCGCGCACACATGAATCATCAGCTATTAAAAAGTACTCAAGTCATGCACGGATCTTGGTGCACCAATCAAGTGGCTGTAGCTATAGAGGTGACTGAAGCTTAGCTAATTCTTAGTAGACTGAGAATTAGCAAGTCTGATAATGAATAATTTAATCTGACACTATTAGGGAAAAGTAATGAATACAGTTCAACCGTGACTAGAATTATTACTATTACTCTCTATCTCTCCCTCTCTGTGTGTGTGTGTGTGTGTGTATAAAATCTATGAATCTTTTATACAAGTTTCGGTACACAACTGGGTCACATCGGCTCATAGAATGTATACACCAAAATAGTAATAGTAATCAAGCACAAAACAGAACCAGTTGATTAATTTAATGGCTAAACAATGAGAAATTCTGATAATTTTGAGAAAATGATGATGGCTACCTCCAATGATCATCTACAACATGGCATCAGGCATCAGTTACAAGGCTCCAGAACAAGAAACTGAACTGTGGATGGAACCTTCGGCCTGATGTAAGTTTGGATAGCCACAAGTGCTCTACGGGATTTAAGAATATTTTCCCTTCGCGTACCAAAGTAGAAGATTTCCCTTGGCCTATCTCGGGTGTCCAATATAAGCGACTCGAGCGAGGTTGCGATGTGAACGATATGGCATGCCAGCTCAATCAAGCTCTTCGTGGAATAGAAGCCGTCGATCCTCACGTTCTTGAGCTTGCCATGGTTGTGTCCAGGCATCTCCCTTGGCTCCGAGAGATCCGTGGAAGCTGAGACATGCTCCATGCGTGGTTCCCATACCTAAAGAGATGAGATAATTATCTTTGATTAACGACACTAGACACTATTATATGTTTGTAGTATGAAACGTAACTTACATCCAAGATGAAGGTCTCCAAGGAAGGGGAAGCGCCCAAGAAAGATGCCAGAGAGAGATAATCATAGCTTAGGGAAAAGGTCCCTCTCCTGAGAATGATATTCAAATACTTGAGGTGGAGAAATTTGCTGGACATTGGTGCGTCAACCATCTGCATAAACATATACTATATGATTAATATCATTATATTCACACGCATATGGCTAGTCTATAGTCACCGGCCTCTAGTTTTAGAGCATACCTCGGATGAATATATGAGAAGGGATTGAAGGTTTGGCATGCTTGATGCAAGCTTAGCACGAATATAACCAATAACGCCAGGACAATCCATGCATACACTCTTCATTTGAGATGATGCTAGATGTGACAGTTGTACCTGCAGGGATTTACATTCCACTAATGTAAAATGGGTGAGATTTGGAGCTTTGTTCTCTATGATTCGCAGGTTCTTGCAATATAACACCTCCAGGTAGTTGAGCCTCAGAAGAAGGCAAGGTATCGCCAAGCAACTTATTTTCTCGCAATGCCTGAGTTCCAATCGCTCCAAAGCAAAAGAACTAGAAAGAAGGGAACCTAACTCATCACCTGTAATGCGCACTTGGAGTAGACTTAATATTGTCAGGCTTCTCAAGCAACCAAGGCCAACTGTGGGACGAAAGGTACATTTTGAAAGGTGAAGACGTCGAAGCGAGGCTGCATTCCCATGTGATAGAATTAAGCATGGGAATTCGTACTTGTTATTTACTGAAGATAAATAGAGCCAGAGTTCCTCAAGTACTGGTGTAATTGCCATTTGAAGCCATTTGTCAAGATACCAACGGTCTTTGGCATTGTAATCTAGAGCTCCTAGAAGCTCCAGTGTCTTTATGCCAACGCCTGAGTGCTTCTCAAGAATATGGTCAACTTTGGTAGTAAAAGCTCTTGCATCAGCGTTTCGATTCACATGTCCATCCAAACCCAATGTTTCTTCACTGAAAGTGAGCTTGGGATAGCATCTCCAGGAGAATTTGAAGGCACGAGACACACAAGCAGCCCGGGCGGCATCTCGGAGTGGCATTAGGGAATGTATATGACACCAGATGTCCTACATGCACAAACAGGGAGAAAAGTGTAACATTAGAACTATGAAGGCATACACTTAGTTCTACTGGGAAAAGAACAACGATATAACTATATATTGAGTAACATTCCACCCCCGGTGTTTTTTTTTTTTTTGAAAAGGAGGAAAGACCCCCAGGCTCTGCATCAGAATGATGCATGTGGCCAACCCTAGGTGCTCTATGCATGATTGATAGTGTACATTTGTGGCAGGTATATTGAGCATTGCATTTAGAAGTCTTTCCTTGTCCCAAAATGGTTGTGGGTGTGCCGATTTAGCTGCAAAAACAAGAAGCCTAGAAAAAAATTCGAAGGTGAATTCAACTTTAGTGGTATAAGCAAAATATCCACTTGTTTATATTAAGAGTATATATGGTACATATACATTATCTTAATCTTTGGACACTGGAGTGAGTTGTATGAAACAGAACCAAAATTTGTACGTACTATTGATATCTGGCAGACATAAACATTCAAATTCTAACAGTAGCAAGAATGACCACATATGTATCGAAGGCTGATTAATCTAAGAAGTATCATAAAAAGAAAATAAGTGCATAGTGTGGTTGTTCTGGATTGGACGATGTTGGCATGTGCTAGATAGGGTTTGGCCAGGTATAGACATCACGACACTGGGCCTAGAACAGCAATGGCAACAAAGGAAGCATTTGTGGAAGATAGCTCTAGGAAATCTACTGCAGACTTTTCGTGACAAGATAAGAGATACAAGAGTCATGATAGGCAGTTATTTGTTGGGCAGATAAATCTGCTTATGCAATTGGGAGAGATACAAGAGTCATGATTGGCAGTTATTTGTTGGAGAGATAAATATGCGTATGCAACTGGAACAAGCCAAAGAATATAAGAGTGTTTACATCACTACTATAATGATGTACTCCCTCCGTCCGTCCCATAATTTAAGACGTTTTTTGACATTAGTGTAGTGTCAAAAAACATCTTACATTATGAGACGGGGGGAGTAGGAGATTGCGGTTAAGAGATCGTGTCATATAACTGTCATGGTGAAAATTTTCTTGAGACATAAGCACTCCATTAGTAGTAGTAAAAAAAGAAATACCTCTGGAAGGTGTGGGCCGTGTGGCCCTGAATAGTCCTTTGCTGGACCACCCTGAGAACTTTCATCTTCTTGGCGGGGTGTGCGATTTATGTCAGTCCGTAAATCAACCGATCCATCTGCAACATAATCTTGTTGGCGGGGTGAGCCCTTCCTCTTACCCGGCGAAGCAACTGATCCGTGAGCAACCAAACCTTGTTGGCATGACGAGCCTTTGCTTTTGTTTCGCGAAGCAATCGATCCACCTGTAAACCACACCATGGGTGGTAATGAACAGAACAGACAGTAATAGAAAATCGTAAAAGAAAAAGGAAAAAAACGCAAGCGCATGAGTTCAATCTGTTTCAGTTTCAGTTTTAACTTGACTGCAAGAAGGCCTGACAACTTTTTTCATCAGTTTATAAGCAAGCAGAAAAGACCGTAGCTAGGTGGGCTTGATCCAGATTCAGAACACTGACAACTGAAGACGACAATTTCGTTCTAGTAAATAACTATTGCAGTTGCATGCAGGATCCCTGGCATTGCTACGGGACGAACTGCAGTGCAGAAACAGGGGGAGGACGGAAAGAAAGAAAAAGGTTGGAGGGAGCTAGGGCTGGTTCTCACCACTGGCTCTGGCTGGCTCTTGCTGTTGCTGCATGGCCACGAGCCCCTTCGGCTCCGGCTCCGGCTCCGGGAACCCCATGACGCGCTCGGTTTCGTTTCGAACCCAGTCCCGATTCACTTTTCAAGCCAACAACAAGGGCAAGGGCGAGGCGGAGATAGAACCAGCGTCGGACTCCTCTGCTGCGGGCTTCTCGGCCCCTTTGACTTCTGCGCCTCTCCGCCCGATCCAAAGGTATGGAATGGACCATTAACGGGCCACACTATGTCTCGCTTATAGCGAGACCTAGCCACTTCTTTAAGGTTTTTTTTAGACAAACATGTTTAGGGGGTGTACCGAGAGCAACTAGTTGGTGAGCGTTTCTTCGCCACCACGTGTCACGCTCTGGGCGATCTCTCCGGATTTTATTTTATTTTTATTTTTTGCACGCATTTTCGGCTTTTTATATGGTTTTTTTACTTTTGGTTTTCCACCGGTCATTCATATCTTTTGGACCGATTTAAAAAAAAATTCTTTTTGCACGAAAAACATTTTTTTTCATCCCACGAGAGGCACGCTTTTGCTTTCGCGAGAGGCACGGCCGTGCCTCCTGCAAACAAAAAAAACTTATTTTTTGTTTTGTTCCTTCCATGAGAGGCACAGTTTTGCTTTCGCGAGAGTCACAATTGTGCTTTCGCGAGATGCACGGCCATGCCTCTCGGAAATGAAAAAAAATGTGTTTTCTGTTTTTTTTCTTTCACGAGAGGCACGGTTGTGCTTTCGCGACGTGCCTCTCAGAAACGAAAAAAAACGTGTTTTCTGTTTTTTTTTCCTTTTGCGAGAGGCATGTTTGCGCTTTCGCGAGAGACATGGCCGTGCCTCTTTCACAAAGGGAAAAAGCGTGCTCCCGGTTTGGCTTTCCCGTCCGGTTTTTTTGTTTGGTTTTTTTCATGGAAAAAAGATCATCAAAACCTATCAACATGATATCTAATTTTGAAGATCTCGACACGAGGAATTTAATGGTCTAATGGTGAAAACGGTTCGAGATTTGGCTGCACAGTTTAAGAGATAAAACATTTTGAATAAACATATGTAAAAATGGGAAAACTCACAGGTTGCGACAAGTGGCGAGTGCGCCACTTGTCGCAACATGAGAAGGTGGGGATGATCTTTGGAAAAAGTACTTCTCAATTAGTGATTTCGAGATATAGTGGAAGACCTAGACTACGCTCGTCAAGGATGCAACAGTTGGCAGGCCCAGTAGCAAAACGAGCATAGTTTCTCATTCGTTTCTTTCAATCTGTTGTTATCTTTTCGGTTTTCTTTGCAAGGTCTTTTTTCCATTTGTTTATATTTTTGAAAAATATTTGAAATACATATATTTCGAAAGTTAAAATTAATTACTCGCTCGTCCCAAAATAAGTGACTTGACTTTATTTTGGGATGGAGGGAGTATTTTTTAAATCATGAATTTTAATTTTCTAAACACAGTGTAAAAAAATTAGTGTAATTCGAAAAAATATTGCTGATAGCATCCAACACTATTGTGCATTTATATTTAAAAAGAGAAACCATTTTTTACAAATGTATCTGTATAAGAAAATTTATGATGTGTGCGAAAACAAGTAGACAACAAAACATGAATTAGAAAAAATGTTAAACTTGTACTTGATAATTGTTAAAAAATATTGAAAGAAATAAGATATATAACAAAAATATAATATGCATGAAAACAATAGACATCAAAACATTTATTCAAAAATATTAATCTTATATTTGAAAATGTTAAGCACTTATTAAAAAATAGATATATACCACAAATGTACAATGTGCACCGAAAAAAGTATACATAAAAAATATATGTTTCAAAAATGCTAGCTATTCATTTTAAAAATGTCAAACATGTATATAAAATATATTCTTGATGTATACAAAAATATTGAATGTATACTGGAAAATGTTAACATGTGTTAAACAAAAAAGAAATCAATGACAATCGACAAAAAACAAAGAAAATTAATGCAAAAGAATGTGAACAGTAAAACCTGAGAAGGAAACAAAGCAAACCGAGAAAAGGAACAGAGAAACAAAGAAAACCAATGCAAAAGAATGGAATAGTAAAACCCGGGAAGGAAACAAAGAAAACCGAGAAAAGGAACAAAGAAAAAAAAAGAAGGAAAGGGCAAAAAAAATAGTAGACCCCGGAAACAAACAAAGAAAAACGAAGGAAGAAAGAATAGACCAATAAAACCAAGAAAGAAACAAGAAAACCCGCTGGAAAAACAAAAAAAACCGTGAAGAAACAAAAGAGAAGAGAAAAGAAAAGGCCAAACAAGTACGTCGACCGTACTAGCACTGTCAGGGCTCCGCCTCCTCCTCTTCCTCCTCCAAGAAAGAAAGTTAGGGTTCGTGCCTCTCGCCGGCACCGGCGCATGTCCGCCTCGTCTTCGGTGGCCCTAGGGCCATGGAGACGCGGTGGATCCTGGCAAGGGCCGGCGGGAGGGCTCCGTTTTTAGTTGTTTTTTTCAATCTTGTTAGGGTTTGTGTCCTACTCAGGAAGGCGAGACGGCGGCGGCTCCCTGAAGATGGAATAAAGGTCTCGCCGCCTAGCCCCTATACCGGCGGTGCGTCTAGCATCATTGGTGGGCATGTGGAGGTGTGTCTCCGGCAGATCTATCTTTGGTGGATTTGCTCGGATCTCGTCGTTCTTCATCTACGTTCGTGTGTCTTCGGTTTGGATCCTTCCGATCTACGTTATTTTTCATCGGCGACGGTTGCTGTTCTGGGGTGCTGGTCCTATGGAGTCTTAGCACAACAACTTTCCGACTGTCTACTACAACAAGTTGTGCCCGGCTCCGACGATGGAGGGGCAATGACGGCGGCGCGCCTTCGGCTCGCTTCGGTGCTTGTAGTCGTCGCTAGGTGGTCTATGAATCTGGATGTAATTTTTATTTTTGATATTCGTTGTACTGCCATGATTGAAGATGAATAGGTTAGAAGTTTTTCCGAAAAAAGTAGGTCGACCGGCGAGTGAGCAAGGCAAGCAACATGAGCTAATGGGCTGGCCCTATATGCCCGCGCTTCTGGCAAGACAAGAGCGATACTCGCTACGAGGGAGATATAGCTCTCGCGACCAAACTGTTTGGCTCCTTGATGCTTTCCGGTTCAGGCTGGGAGACTCGTTAGATTACATTCCACTATTGAGAAAACTAACCATTGACACAATCCTGATGCAAGAAATCGATTCGCTGTGATCATACTGTACTTTTTAACCTGCCTTGCGATATGTGTCATCACACTTGCCACAAGACATCAAAACAGCATCAAGCTATATATCTATCACCACGCCCTTACTTAGCGATGACACATGATAACACATTGCTCTAGTACAAACATAATGTATATCAGCAGCCTTTCTATACTTACAATCACCCCCAAAACAATTCACACGAAAATCGTCCGACCTCCTGCGTCCAAGCTTACCATCTCGTTGTCGGACCTGGTTTACGTCAATGACATAACCAACAGTGCCTCCGCGGCCCACTGATGCCCTACGTGGAAACAAAGGAGGCCTTGTCAGCTCCACATTTGTCGCCATAGGGGTTTCATTGGAGTGGCCAGAGACGCAAAGCGTTTCGTTGTCATCCTGATCCCAGAATACCTCCACCATGACTCCTCTTCGGTGCTCCTCCGTCTCGGTTCCAGGAATGCCCACAAAACGAGCCCTCTTTGGTATATGCATTCCCAACGTTCATGAAATCAGATAGATGTTCACAATGGCGTAAATAAAGACTAGAGGGATCTCCACATATGCAAATTATCGACATTGGATGTCAGCTATCTGCATCTCAGAGAAGTTATCTTTCATGTCCATAGGTTTTTTATGTTCTTAGGATTAGTGAGGGCAAACCTGAATTGTTGCTCCGGACGATAGGTTTAGAGTCGCCAGTATCCCTTCGGTGGACAAGCTCTCCAACTCGGCTTGCTTTGCAATGTTCAGGAAGACTTCTTCAAGTGTTGTGAGACCAAGCTGAATATCTGATATCCCGAATTCCCTTTCTCTGTCTTGGAGTTCCCCGAAGAACCTCAATTGGTAAAAAGTACTATTGCGTCAAAAATTTAGCTAATGATGTGCATGGTGTCAAAATGTTTCCGTCAGAAGTGTTTTTTTCTCATGGGGGATGAAAAACGTTAAGAATGTCCTGCTTTCTTCTTTCGGGTCCACATCAAGCCTCTGTTTCAAGAACATTTGTTGTGTTTTACATCTCCACATAATAAGAGAAACAATTCCGAATGGTATTTAGTTTAAGGATGAGAGACATACTCCCTTGAAGAACCGTTTGATGGATTCTATGTTAGGATTAACTGGGGCCTATGCATCACCGTTGATGTTAGGGCTTTGTGCATGACCGGTTCCCAAGAAATTCACATTAGCGATATACTCAATTCCAAATTTCGACTTCAGCCTTATTGAAGTGCAGATACGCTGCAGTTCCCCCTTTGCCAAGATTGCAATTCGGTCACTTAAGATGTCAGCTTCCTCCATTGAGTGTGTGGTCAAGACAATAGCTCTTGCCTTCTTTGCCTCCTCGCTGATGTCCCAGACATGCCTCCTTGTATACCGTTAAACGTATATGTGTGGCTCCTACAGCCTCCAAACCT